TGGAGATAAAAAGGAGTGCGCGCTGGAGAGCCCTCTCCCCACCGCGCCCCCGGCATGCCGAGACGCGCATAGCACATAGAAGAAGACGGACAGACAGAGAGAGACAGAGGATGCTGCCGTAGCCATTTTGGCTCAAGTCTCCTGCCGCCTTGGTCCTCTGGGCCTTGGCAACCCAGGGCGGCCCTCGTGTTCTGCGGGGAGTGGCCTCCGCAGCGCGCGAGGGTGGACGTCTCTGGGTTGGGCTTGGGTCACTCGGGCAGCCATCTCCTAGACAAGGCCGCAGAGCCAATAGGTGCATCCCGGGCCCCGAGGCCCGCACACTTCATCCCTGCGTGAATAGCCTGCTGTGCCGGTGCCTGGACTCCGTGAACGGTGAGCTCCTCAGCCCTTTGCGTGTACATCAAGGACGCTCCTTGCAACAACCTCGAGGGTTTGTTCCTGAAGTCTGCTGGCTCGACAGCACCTCCAGCCCCGATCAGATGTCGACTGGCATGGAAGCGTTGCGGGCAGCTGCGGCTATCCCTATTGAAGTGGACGAGCACGGAATCCTCATATGTGGAAGGCAAGGAAGCGAACGCCTCATCGCCTGCCAAAAGAACCCGCTGGGACGAAGGGGCCCCGGCTGCAGGAATAAGTCTTGCAGACCTGACGGCAGCCCTGGCCCCGCTAACTGGCGGTGTGCTGGACATGAAAAAGCGCATGACCGACATGGAGACCCAATTTGCTCCCAAGGTGGACAAAACTTTAGACTTTAGACATGATTCAGGCACTTAACGACCGACAGCGAGACCAAGGACTGAAGCTCCAGCAAATCCAAGAGACCATGGAGGCACAGAAGGAGCGGGAGAAGAAGCGAGAGGACACCGTTCAGGAGATACTGAAGCGGATCGATGTGCTGGAAGAAAACCGCGCTCAGAGTCGAACGTGGAGGCAGCCACACCTTGACGATGATGAGGGAGATGGGCACTGATTTTCGGGGGATGGAGCACCGACCTGGACGAGGAAGAGGTTCTCGGCAAGGCGCGTAAACTGGTGGCCGACTTATCGCTGGACATTGACCTGGGTAAGGCCTTCATGCCGGGCAAACAAAAAGGGTTCCTGATCGTGCCGCTGCAGCCGCGGACGGGAGAGGACCGTGCCAAGCTCCAGCGCCGGGCAATCGCTTCAGTGCAAATAATCAGAAAGGTCGCCCTCCCTACCGGAGGCACAGACAAATCAGGAAGACCAGCCAAGCTTCGGCTTGCTATCAGCAAGTCCCCCGAGCAGCGTCGCCGAACACGGCAGATGTCCAAGAGCAAACGCGCGGTCCTGGAGGGCGCTGACAAGAACGCTCGAAGCCTGGCAGTGCGTGCAGACTACAAATCCGGCACGCTGTGGTTGGACGCGCGCAAGATACCGAGAACCAGCGCGGCCACATCGGCGTATGGATGGCTGGATGTCGAAGCGGTGTCCGGCCACGGGTGAGACGAAGGATGAGGTAGAGAACAGGTGGCAAGAGCTGGTTGGGGAAATCAACTGACCGAGTGCGCAGACGGCTGACCTATGCGTGCAAACACTGGAACTCATGGAAGAGGCGGGGTTGCGCAGCAGCTTGCCTGAGAAGGCTCCCGCCGCAGTTGGGAAACGGAGAAAGAGGAGGCAGTCCAAAGACCAGGAGATGAGCGCCGAGAGGCGACTGGAGACCAGTCCAGCCAAAGACCCTGGGCCAGATCGTGAAGAACGGATCCGGGAAAGAGAGTGCTAACCTACGATCCACTGATGATGTTTTCTGTGGGCGCCTCGGGGCCGGCGCCCGTGGGTGCCCTATGTGCCAATACTGTAGTCGCAGTAGCCTCTGCGGAGAACCAGGCAGACAGCCTTGACCCTCCCACCACAGCAGAAGCTGAAGCCGATTCAGATCCTGCGCAAGAGCCCAAAAAAGAGACCGGGACCGCCTGTGGAAAGGGAGCTTGCCAAGTCTGAAGGTTCTGAGAAATTGAAGCGGGGAGAGAATGGATGTGGGAGCCGAGGGTTGTGCAAGCCACTCGTCAACACCAGCTAGGAGGGAGAGACAGCAGCGCCGCAACAGACGGCCACGAAGGGGGACAGCGGACCATGAGGGGAACAGACGCACAGAAGCCAGCCAGCGAAGTTTGATGTCAGAAGTCGACGGACGAGGACGAGAGGTAGAAGCAGAGCCGTGAGAAGCTACCGCGCAGAACCGAAGAAACGGAAGACGGCCGCCAGGAGCCGCAAGATGTTTAGGCGCGGGAGGCTAGGTCGAGTGACCTGTGTGTTACATGGAACCTGGGAGGCATGAAGTTAGAAAGGCTGCCGGAAATCATTAGCGCGCTGCCGACCCTGGGCCTCGAGCGAGCGCAGGTAGTTGCGTTCCAGGAAGTGAACATAGACCCGATCCACTACCTCAAAGCAGGCAGCCGCACCGACCAATGGACGGTCGTAGCAGCAAAGAAAGAAGGAGAGTGGAGAGGAAGAGCCACAGCCGCAGTTCGGAGTTCCGCAGGCATCATCAAGCACAGACACAGACAAGCAGAGGAGAACGGATTAGAGGCAATGTGGGGATCCTCAATGTCCACCTCCCTACACCCTGAACGAGACAGGTAACCAGCTGGAAATATGGGGTCGCATAAAGGGAACAAGGGCTAGGTGATTTCAACCGGGAGCGGCTCCACCAGAGAGGAAATGGGGCCGGAGCAGCGCACCCTCCTACCACCCTTACAACCAACTGCATGCCCCGCAGGCTATGCCCTGGTGCGAGGTGTGGACAGCGGGGAGCAAGGGGGAGTGTGGCGGCTCAGGCGTGTGGTGGCCAGACCATAGAGATCCGAGGCCTGACCCTACGTCGGCAGGCTGTACGCAAGCTACAGAGAGCACGGAAAGCAAGGAAGTGAAACGACTGGCAACAAGCCAAGACCAGCCAAGGGCAGGAAGCCAGAGCGTTGTGGAAGCAGATGTGGAGGCAGAGGAAACAGGAAAAGGAAGTGTGGCAGCGTGACCTGTTGCAAGCAGTGCTGGGAGGGGACTGGCAGGCGTTGAGGGCGGCCAAAGCGGCCAGACCGAAACCGGTCTGGGGAAGAGGAGCTGACAACCAAAGAGGACTGGGGAAAACAAATGAAGCAGCACTTCACCAACATCTTTGCTAAGATGGAAGCTGAGAAAGTCAGGGCTTCCATGCTCCGCGTATGGAAACAACTCGAAAAGGAATGCAAACAGACGGGGGGGAGGAAATGGATGCTTGCGGGGTTGCGTGGAAGAATTCCAAGAGTGAGGCGCTTGGTGCCATGTGCCTACAGGAACGATGGGAGGACAGGCTGCGACAACCTCTACAAGGGGCGTATGCCACAGGGAGCGAAGCAATCGGTCACAGTTCTTCTTCCCAAAGAACGCCGCCCCCGGGACTGGAGTAGCGCCAGAGCAGGAGTATATTGAAGTGGCAATCCCAACTCATCCTGCACCGAGTAGGTCCCGCAGTCATGCGTCAAGCCAAGTACCAGTTCGCGCGGCCGGGCCGACAGGCGCCAGAACTGATATTGAAGTGAGAGTGGAACCTTCCCATACACATCGCCAAGATAGATGTGTCCAAAGCATTTGATTGGGTGTCCCAGGTTAGCTTGGCAGAGGCAATCTGTAAAGCTAGGTCGCGCCTGGCCTTGGGAGGCCCGTCTGTGGGTCGATCTCCTGGAGAACAGGGAGATCACAGTGCAGGTTCCAGTTATCTTCGTGACAGTCATCGGAGATGTCCTCAATGAAGCGCTGGATGCGCCCCAACCCCCCCCGCCTGGAACCAAAAAGAGCACACCCCCGACAATGGCCCGCCGCTCCCATAGATGATGTCCATTTCTGGGCGCTGTGCAGACCTTTCCTGCAGTTCCTCATGGACAGCCTGGAAAAGAACCTGGCCAAACGTCACCTGAGCACACACCCGGAGAAGACCAAGTACACACACACCTCTGGCCACCCGCAGACGGTCAGAGTGGCGGGCCAGGAAGTCAGAGGAGAAGCTCACGGTGCTAGGTGCGCCAGTGGCCATGAAAAACGAGGTAGCAGCCATCTTGGGAGAGGAACGCTTTCGCGGCTCACAAAGCAATGCTTACCGGACCCGAGCCCGCAGCGCAAATTGCAAACCTACGCCAAATTCATTACGCCAGCGGCGCTCTGGGCCACGCCAGCGGCGCTCTGGGCCGCCGGAGCAGCGCACCCCCGCCAGTCTCTCCTCAAAGGCATTAACAGCTTGCAGCTCCTGCAGCTCAGGCAGGCCCTCTGGAACAGTGGGCCGACTGGAATCAACGATTCCTGCGCTACACGCGCACGGTGTTGGCCCAGCACCCCCCAGTACAGGTGGAGCACTGTGATGTTGCAGGCAGTTTGGAGGCTGCGCAGACACATGGTGAGGCTGACGAAAGCACAGCCCTGATCAACTGGCGATCCCAGGCATGGTGGCGCCAGGAGCAGCACGCCAGGCATGGACTTAGGCGCCCGCAAAAGGTACAATGCGCTCCTTGAAACGGAGCGTCTCCTGGAAAAGGTTACACCGGAGTGGCGAACCAAGGCCCAGCGCCGGCCGACATGGTCGAGACTAGAAAAGGACTTCATGCGCGTGTGCGATGTGCCATGGGCTACAGGCCGCCAACCATCCCTTGACAACCTAGCCCCCAATTAAAATCGAACAACAGCAAACCGGAGAGAGGAGAGAAACAGAGAGAACTGGACATGGACATGACGGATGAGCGTGCAGTTGTGTGATGTGAAGTTCATGTCGGAGACCCGTTCACCCTGCCAACTTCCGTCCTTGGCCGTTTCTGTACAGACCGCTGTTGAGCTGAGACTCATCCACCCGCCAACACAAGCCCGCGCTCCCGCCTAGCACCAGCCACCGTAGGCCGTCGTCCCTCCGATGACATCAGCGCACTCACATGACCGAGCATAGATGAGCACCCGCCGCAGCCGCCACCAATGACAGACCTGTCCGGCCAAGCCCTTGCAAGTACCTGCAACATCCCCCGCCACTATTAAATGAAAACGGGGGTTTGGGTCTACTAAATGTATAGGGGGGTTGAAAATGCAGAAAGACTATGTTCAACACTGTCTTTTTTCATTTTCCGGTTGTTTGGGAACCATGCTCTTGAGGGTCAAATTATTTGTGATTGCGTTCAGTGTGTCAGACATGTCAGACAGCGTGCAAAGAGTTGCGCAGAAGCTTTCAAAGAGCATGCGTTTTCGTTTCCTCCTCTCATATGATTCATATGGTTCATATCCGAAATCCCATGCAATCTCCCATGGCAGATGCAGCTCAGCGTTGATTGTTTGCTCACAACATTCTCGCAGAAGTGACGATTCGCCTGTCCCGGCAGGCGCTGGGCTCGCGTGCGATGTGCATGTCCGTTTCATATGAGTGGATAGAAAGCAACGCCTCTCTGGTGCGGGCAATGCATTCCATGTCAAAGTTAGCCACAGACAGGCAGAGCAGACGTCCTTGTTGTGAGCATCACGAACATTTGACTTCAGGCCCTATTTGCTCTAGCTTGGGAATGTTCAGGCAAACCACGCAGGACCAGACATCCCCGACCCTTCTTTCTAAGCTGACCGAGGCAGACAGTGAGTCAACTTGAAAGCCTAGTGACTTAATTGGCCATGACCTGGTCCGTCGTGTGCAGGGACTATGGAAGGGGCCGCAATGACTGCGGCTTGGGCGGCAGTATGCCACACAGGGGAATTTTTTTGGCAATTTTGGTAGTGCAATTGTTCAATTTTTTCATTTCCAGGATTCGGACGGCTTGAAGGTTGGGTAAATGATGTAAAGGGGTAGGTGTGTTACCGGTTTTCTGCGTGTTCTTATCGTACCGATTGGGACAAGGACCCTTATGATTGTGCGTACCTGTTGAGCTCACCTATTTGCAGTTCATGCCATTCAAGATGTCACGATGCATTTTCTGCCTTCCATCTGAGACACGTACTCCTGGACTTGGCCGAACTCCGCTTGGTGTTCATGTCGCAGAAGAAGGCCAGGCTCTTATGTTACTTGAAGTCAGAGGGGTTGGTAGTGCCTTGAATGCCTTGAGGCTGACTCTTGGGCCAAGGAGTCGGGCGTTCGGAAGGCAGAGTATGCAGATTGATGTTGGTGGGGAGATACAGAGGTGTGCCTCTTGAGATTTGAAATTGGCCAGGTCCCGGCAGAGCTGAAAAGCAAAGCTCGTTCGTTGGGCGACTTGGGGGAAGCCCACGAGGGGGGGGAGGAGGAGTCAAGTCCCTGCATTCTTTGCGCTTTGTTCTGAGAGTTGCGCATGCTGACCAAGCATGCTCATTTGGCTAGGACTGATATGCTCGTGCTACCACAGAGATGGATGAGTCTCTTATGTTTAGCCTGTAGGACTGGCGTTGCTGGAGCATCATTGACTGATCATATCATTCATATCGCCTGCCATGCTGAATTGTCCCGCCTTGCCGAGCTGGTGCACCCAAGCCCA